AAAAATTATGTAACCTCCGCTGATTCCTTGTGGGTGTTTTGTTTGTTGTTTGCTTTTTTGTGTTTCAAATTTAGAGACCTGCAGTATTTTTTGAGCCAAGGTCCAGAAGGTTCTCACTATATCTACGTCAGGCTTTAGAAAAATTCCACCCTTACCTTTTCACAATTAGAAAGGTTATAAATAATGTATTTGGCTGCGAAGGAAGCTCAGCCTGTGGCAGATGGCATCATTCTAGAATGCCGGGGTTTCTGCGAAGATGGCATTCTTTCAGATCGGAACTTCAGCAGACTCCCAGAAAGAACCGAAGCCCCTCCTAGGGCGTAGACATGTGCTTTATGGATCTTAGAAAAGCTTACAACTTGGCTCCCAGGACGAGAGTATCGTGTCACACTGAGGTTGTGAGACCCACGGCCAATTTCTGCTGACTTTCAAATCCTGTTTCCCAGCATAGGAAAGCCGTGGCCGATTCCCTGCTCGATGCTGTGTGTAGCATTTGAACTTGGGATCTAAACCGACTGAGTTTTGTCAGCCTGAGTCCTTTCTTCCCTGAACGTTCATCTTTTACACACACTGGCCACCGGGTGGGAACACTTGCGATGACAGTTGTGTCTTTCTCCAAGTGCCTTGGTGTGTCTTTCTCTGAGTGCTCTGGAGAGCTCGTATAAATAGACAGGGGAGAGGACTGGTTCTGGAATGACATACCCAGCAAGCGCGGTGACTTCTGAGACATCTGTGCCGTTGCATTTTGGAAAAACTCGGGCAGGAAAAACTCTTGCAAATGAATGGACAAAGATTTTTTAAACTACGAGTTTTATTGTAACTGCCAGAAGTGATGATTTTAAGAGTCTCATTTAACAATTAAGCTGCCATTACCTTTAAGTTTTAAGGACGAGAGAGAGGAGAGAGAGACAGAGACAGAGATTGATTTTCTGGTAGTCTGCAGTAATGGCTTATTTCAGTGTCCTTTTGTTGATCAACTAATATGTTCCCAGCCCTGAATGCGATGAGTGCACACTATTTAGAGATGGGAACCAAGGCTCTAGTAGAAAATCCACAGCATGACAAGTGCTATCGTGGTACCATGTGTGGGATGTTTGGGAAGTCAGGAAAGGCAGAGCAGAGATACCTGAAATACATCCTCAGGGATGAACAGCTGTTAGCTAGAAATTGGAGAGGGCACTGGTCGATCATCCAAGTCAGAGAAGCCGTGTGTGTCTTCCTGACGTCAGCTACCAGGTGCAGGCCAACTTTAGAAGTTACCACCAAATTTGAATATCGCAACAAATGGAAACACCGTTTTCCTTGGTGTTTTCCCTTGTTCCTACTTGACTTGTAACTCGATTTAATGAGCACAGTCTACATTCTTCATAAGAAAATGTATTTGACTTGAAATATATCATTTGAAATTTTACCTGATGCCTTTGTTATTCACAGAGTAGTCTTTGGGCTGATCTGAAATGTGAGCCTATAATAAGAGCCCAGTGAGGAGGTGGTGGCAGAGGGTTGTCGTAGTGATTAACACCTCTTAAGTCCAGACTTGGTATGTTCCAGGCACTGTGCTAATTGTATCACATTCATTATTTTATTAATTGTCTGTCCAAGGGCAGATAAGTAATGACGTGAAGAGCCGTACTTCCTAGTCACTTGCCCCGTGCTTGGCACATAATAGGAGTTCAGTAGATACGTAGTGAATGAATGAATGAAAAAAAATGCCGGAATGAATGGAGTCTCAGAACAACCCCATGGGGTGAGTGCCACTATCATTGCCATTTAGTATGGGGAATTGTTTTAGAGTAGTTAATTTGACTGGGGTCGCACTAGTAGTGTGCAGCACATCTTGGACTTGAATGCAGATTTAGCTGATTCTGTTTCATCAAAGAACATTTAGTGTGTGTTTAATACGTGCCAGGCATTTGGGCTGGAAAGTAATATGGAACCCAAATCTGCATGAACTGACAGCCTATTGTAATATTTTTAAACCAGTGTCTCCTTTTGATTGACATGAACCCCAAGCGCCTCTCCTGAAAATCATGGCTCTTGGTGTACCCTTTGTACATCCATCCCTACCACCTATGAAAATATTGTTAATCTTTACTTTCTGTCATTTGTATTTTCAAAACAGTAGGTGTTTCTTTATGACTTTCCGAATTGAAGATTACGATACTGGATATGATCTTTCAAATGCCATGGGCCCCATAAGATCCTGAATTCTCTCTTCCCTGCCCTTGAAACTCGCTAGTGTAGTCAGATGCCATGCCCGAGATTTCAATAAGGATTTTACTAGAAGAAGAAAAACAGCATCTTGCTGTGGCTACGTGCGAAATTTACTGCATATTGTTCCAATAAAAAGTGAAGTGACCCTGAGTTACCTGAATTATGGAATATTTCCCAGCCCCAAAAAGCATAGAAAGATAAGAGAATCTAAAAAGTTGTTTTGGCATACGTCACAACTTGTGGGTTAGCCTTTTGATTATGTCCTGCTTAGGCTAATATTTACATTAATCAGAGTTCCCTGAGCACACACCACTCCACAGAGCAGAACAGCACCTAGAAAGTCACTTAAGGACAGAAGCTACCAATGTAGGGTTAAACAAGGGCAGGGGGAAGCGTTGATGATCGTGCACATATGGATATTATTTTTCACATATGGATAATAATGAACTGCATAGCACTATTACATATGGGCTCTAGTTGTGTAAAGATATTTCAGACTTTTTTTCCCACACACTATGTATCTTCTTTCTTTTTTTTCTCCCATATACATATATTTCACGGTTGATATACTGAACACATTAAATTGAAATGATCTGTTTACCTATCTGTCTTCCTCATAGATTGCAAGCTTCCTTTAGGCAGAGGCTCTGTCTTGTCTGCCCGAGTACCGGCCAGGCACATAGTAGGTGTACAGCAAAGAGCAAATTTCACATATAGAACTATTGGCAAATTAAAGTAGATTGGATATTTGTCAAAAACCTTAAGAAAACTTAGATATTCCAAATATTTCGGAAAATTAAGACATAAAGCTACGTCTAAAATTTATATGTGCTATTATAGTAACATTTAAGAAACTGCCAGAATGTCTAGGTATAAGAGTAATAATTTTTAAAAAATTGAACCAAAGTGGAAGAACATCAACTGCCATCCATTTTCAGAATCACCGTTATCCATCAGCAGTCTCAATAGTTTTATTAGTGTCTGACTTTATTGATCCATTATTACGATAGAGTAAGGGTGATTGAAGCTGACGGATTGTTAACCGGATCAGGTAATCTGGCTTTGGTTCTGGCACCCTTGCTAAGTATCTTTTTGTACTCTGGACTAAGGGAGGCTCTTAGTAAGATTGCAAGCTACTAGATTAATGGCAGGGCATCATGAGCCCATTAAGGATGTCTTTTTAGAGAAATAAAATGAGGAAAGGACTATAAAGTAGAAAGTGTCAAAAAAAAAAAAGGATGTCACAATTCTTCTTAAGAAAGATCACCGTGCTTTACATAAATAATGCAATTCTAGCTTGTCCTCCTCACTGTAAGTTCTTCAAAGATCCCCAAGATTTGCATATTACAGGAATGTGTTCCTATTATAGAATTACCACTGCTAATGGATGTTAGGAGAGTCAATAATAACCAAAAGAGCTTTAAATTAGAAGTCGCTTAAAGGAGATAATTATATAAAAATACTTTTGTTCCCAAACTGGCTTTTCTGGTTGTGCACTGCTCCCACACAATGCTGCCCTCTGTAAACTCTGTCACCATAGACCAACTGAAGTCTGAAGTGGAAGTTCTCAGGTTTCTACACAGAGGAGTGGGGGCGGGGGGGTGTGGTGCTGCAAAGTCTTAATTATTCCTGAGACGCAATCGGAAATTAATTTAGCTGCTACTAGAGAATAGGGATGGTATGGCTAAAAATAACATGGATTAAGTCACTGAAATTACCATCACTAAAATTTGCTGGGAAGAAAACACTTTTCTTTGTTGAAAATGAGTTTAACTCTCCCCCCCAAACTCCTAATACATCAAAATCATGATTTTCATCTTCATTTTTCTGTTAACACTGTTGGCTGTTTTCAGGATGAAGGCAAGTGACAGAATAGGTCATTTTATTTTTTGTGGTATCTTTGAGAAATTTAGTAAGCATGAAATGTATATATTTAAGTGTTTTATGGTTAGTTTGAAATTCAGAACTCAAGCTTTACTGTAGATGAAGCTAGCAATACAACTGTAGAAATTCTTTTTTCTTCTGATAGAGGATCTCTGAGTAGTTTATTTTCTCCTTAAATGTGGTCAGTGTTAAGGCAGTTAATGCATCTCCAGTGGGAAACCAAATAATAGAAGACCACAAAGACCCTGGGGATCTTGGTCATTTGCAGTTGCCCATTGACTAGGTCTGGGGTGGGGCTGAAGATTATGCATTTTTAATAAGCTTCTAGGTGATGCTGATATTGCTGATCCCTGGGGCATACTTTGAGAAGCAAGGATGTAGAGTTACTAAAACTCAAAGTAGCTAAAACCCATGGATACAGGGAAGGCCTGGGGAGGGAGTAGGAGCGGGGTGGAGGGGGTCAATGGGGAGATTCAGGGGGACATCTATAATGCTTTCAACAATAAAGACAAATTTAAAAAAAAACACACCTCAAAGTAGCATTTATTTACAAACAGTCATAAAGTCATCTTCACAGAATTGGATTTATTGGAATCAGGATAAGTTTGTCAGGTCAGCCTAGAACAGATGACATTGATGGAAGTTCCATACATATTAGAGCAAAGCCTGTGGGTTTGATAAGCTTTATACTGGTCTCAGTGGGTGGTTGTTTTCTATTTAAATAAGCATTTGATGATCTCCTTAATGAATTTTAAGAAGTTGAGGCTTTAGGTTAAGTGTGAAACAAAAATGTATTGGTACTCAGTTGATTTTAAAAAAATACAGTTTGCACAATTGAAAACGTTTCTGTGTTCCATCTTGTGCCACTATGTGTTACAAATGTTTCCCCCCTCTTCACGCAGAGTATGATTTCTTCCATTGTGAACAGCACTTACTATGCAAATGTCTCGGCAGCAAAATGTCAAGAATTTGGAAGGTGGTACAAACATTTCAAGAAGACAAAAGATATGATGGGTAAGCAAAAACCGTTGCCTCGGTGGCTACATACCATTACGTGTCATTCGGGGGTTTATCAAAGTCACATCTCAAGCCAGGTCTTTTGATTGCCCAATTAGAGATCAATTTAGAATGTTTCTTTGAGGGTGGGGAGTGGGTATGAGTATAATGAGATAATTAAATTCAATAAATGTTTGTGTTTAAATCAGCCAAACTGACTTGGTTGTCAGACATGCAGGAACTCGAGGGGTGAGGAGGGAGCTGTCATTTTTTAACATCTCAGTGAAGACCTTGAAAGCTAATATTAGCTGTGATTTCTCTCAGAGATAAAACATGCTTTTATGCTTTTTGTTTTTGTTCAAGAGAAAGAGCCTATTTTTTTTCCACCCAATTTTTAAGGAAATTAATGGACTTGTAGCTTTCACAATTGAGATCAAGTGATTTTTATATTCCTAATCCCCCACCCTGCCTGTAGGTGCTTAGGTGAACATCCTGCTTTACCGCCCACACCAGAAAAATCATTGCATCATTCCTGAACTTTTAATTCCAGTAGAGCATCCTATCTTAACATAGAACTTTAGGTCAATATTTGTTACTAAGGAAATACATTAAAATTATCTTCAGTGTAAAATGACAGATAAAAAGCTGTGTGTTGTACCTAAGCATTTAGATTATGACATTTTCTCCCTATTGAGTTTGTTAGTATTTGCCAAGGCAAACACTGTGATTGATGTTAATGTTTTAATTTCTATTAATGTTTTCTTTCATATACTTGTACCCTCCAAATAATATATTTAAAAGAATATAAGAATGGGATATTTCATGTGCATGGCGTTATGCCCTGTTTTACATCTATTTCTGTTTACTTCTATTACATTTATTTTATGATGACAACAACAGTAACTTTTCCTAAAGATTTTAAGAGACAAGAGAACCTGAATTTTGAGCATGTTTTAGCTTTTAATATTTGAAGCAAAACCATCCATCTACCCAAACAGATTCTTTGCCTTTTATAGCTTAGAGCTATAATGAAGACAATGCATCATTTTTGGAATAATTGCTTGAATTACTATTCCCTGTGAATGGCCCACTTGGGCTGATATCACTGGTAGAAATGGAAGGTTTCTTCCCCAATTCTTAGTTATATTCGGCATATATTTAGTGATTATAGAAATAGGATAAGTTCCTCTAACTATATAAAACCTGAATATGTAATGAAGAGAGAAATGATGATTAAAGTCCAACCAGAGTCTCTACGTGGAGAGGAGGATGGTGTGCTATTTGGAAAGTCTCACCGGTGTCCATACAGCACCACGCTCAGCTTTTTCAGTCAGAAGCATCACACCAGTCTCCTCCTCGCAGCAGCAAAGCATTTGACGCACTTTGAGCTCACTCTCAGCCAAGGGAGAAGCATCCATCTTGGGTAGGTGGCAATAAATTGCAAAACCATGACAGTATCACCCTTGCACCAGAACAACTCCCCGCCCCTTCCTTGAAAGATTGTCTTCAGCATCTGGTGATAGCCATAGCTTCTTCAAGACACATTTGGGTCTTCGCAACACTGGGTAGACTGGCTTGTAATACTATAAATCATTTGCCTCATTCCAAGAAATAGTTGCAGACGATGGTTAGACTTAAATAAAGCAAACTGTGTATGATACTCAGCCCCGTGTTCAATATGCACTCAGTTATTATTACTTGTCATGATGACCGCTTTCATTATTTATTATATTGATTACTTCTTTATATTCATGTCTGGGTAAGAATTGAATGTTGACAACATTTATGTTATCTATTTTTCTTTCAGAACTTTTGCCTAGAGTAATAATTTATATATATATATCATAAGAAAATACTTGTGTATTTCTTTTTTGTTTATTGCCTATGATGTCTTTTTCTTAGCTCAACTCATTCTTTCTAGATGCTATTAAGCAAATGTCATTCTTCTAGAAACAATCTTAAAGTAAACAATGCTTATCAGCCTTCTTGGGGTAATGAGAATGAGGAACAGTTTGACCCCAAAACTAGTGATGTAGAATATGAAAATAATTGATTTCATGCTTTAAGTCTAAACCACATTATAAAATAGATCAGAAGTATTGTCCCACTTTTAAAGTTTGTGGAATTGTGCAGAGGAGGAAAGTACAAACACAGCAGGTTGAATTCTATCTTGAAATGCTCTTATTTTAATTGGATCTTTAAAGTGCCCCGTGCCTACTGTCTCTGTTTAGGACGTGATCGGAAATGCTTACCAATGCCCATCCTTGTTGACGGAGCATGATTTTACCTTTTATCTGTTTCAGTCGAAATGGATAGTCTTTCTGAACTCTCCCAGCAAGGTGCCAACCATGTCAACTTCGGCCAGCAGCCGGTCCCAGGGAACACGGCCGAGCAGCCTCCATCCCCTGCGCAGCTCTCCCACGGCGGCCAGCCTTCTGTCCGGACCCCTCTTCCAAATCTGCATCCTGGGCTTGTGTCAACGCCCATCAGTCCTCAATTGGTCAACCAGCAGCTGGTGATGGCTCAGCTGCTGAACCAGCAGTATGCAGTGAATAGACTTTTAGCCCAGCAGTCCTTAAACCAACAATACTTGAACCACCCTCCCCCTGTCAGTAGATCTATGAATAAGCCTTTGGAGCAACAGGTTTCAACCAACACAGAGGTGTCTTCCGAAATCTACCAGTGGGTACGCGATGAACTGAAACGAGCAGGAATCTCCCAGGCAGTATTTGCACGTGTGGCTTTTAACAGAACTCAGGTCAGTTTTGTTTTATTTATTAATGATTTTTGTATATTTTTCTCTCTCTCTCCAGTCCCATCTACACCTAATGTTTGTTCTTTTACTTTGTACTAACATTTTATCCTCTTCATGTAGTCGTATTGTCTGTTGCTGGTGGTGCCTAAATATAATCATTCTTTTCCCTCTCTTGAACCTCCTCTGCCAAGAGGAAGCTATGCACAGCATGATCCGGATTCAGGGGCCTTGAGAGAATAAATGAAATATGAAATACGTTTCACACTGATTACCTGCGCTCTTACATAATGGAGTTATAGACTAGTAGCAGGTTGAGAAAAGTTTCATGACTTGGCTAAGGCCACTGGTAGGACTCCAGGCTTCTAGCCTAGGGTCTTTAGTATATTACCACCCATACCAGACATGAGTATATAAATGGGCTCTATTGAAATTCCTTTACAACTTAAAAAAACACCAAAAAACATCTTGGGACTCAATCACAATTTTTGCCATTTAATTCTAAGAAGCCATTTAGAAAAAAATACATGATTTATTAGCAGAAGGTGTTTCTCTCCCCTCTTCACATGATTGTTAATGTTCTCCCAAATTCACTAAGAGGCCTCTGGGGTAGGTTTGAGCTGCAGGCCTCCGTCTGCCTGTCCCACTCATGTCCACACCTTTCTCCTCCTGGGAAATTCCTCTGAAGATGTTATCATCCTGGAAGAAGTTTCAGAAGGACAGGGAGGAAGGGTGATATAAGAGAAAGAAGTCCTAAGATAAAAAAAAATCCTAAACAAATTGATTCTACTAACTGTGAGAGTATTTTTTATTCCTTTTATTGGAAACTAGTATATATGGTGTTTATTTTTGGCCCACGTGTGCGCACACACACACACACACACACACACCCTCACAAGAACATGTAACTTTGATTAGAATGAGGACATTATGTCCTTTCAGCGTTCTTGTTTTACCACTGTTCTTTCTTTTGTCAACTTTTTTGGGGACCTGACTCATACTTTCCTCTCATATATAAGTTATTTTGTTTATTACATGATTATAAGAATAAAATTCTGGTACAAAAATAATCTAGTATTAATTCCTTGTTGGCAGAGTGTCTATACCTAGGAGGATCCCAGTTGTGGCTTATTTTTGGCTTGCCTTAAGTTAGGAGGCCTGAGAAAGCCTTTAACTCGGTTTATTTTCGGTTTCTTTATCTGTTGTTGTTGTTTTTTTTTTGTACATCATTTGTCTGTTTTTAAAAGGGTGATTGCAGAAGGTTATGTCTCAGTTTAAAATTGTATGGTTTTGCCTAGTTGGATATTTTAACAACTTGAAACGTGTTTATCATTAGCTTGTAAATTTAATACGGCACCTATGTTCAGTTGGGGGGTGATTATTTAAAAAAAAATGAAATGAATGAGTGAATGAATCAGAAGTCAGCCATCTAGCTAGATACTCCTGCTTCTGGCAGCATTTTTGTTTTGTTTTGTTTTTGTAAATAGCAGTGACTGCTAGAAGTTGTCAGTACTGGGCAAAAAATAGATAGGGTTGTTGAATTGAATTAAAAGCCCACAGACAAAGAGAACATTGACGTAGACACAAATGACATGCAGATTTACAGATAAGCATTTTAAAAACGGAGCAAATTGTTATTTCTTAAAGCACCGAGGAAAGTGCATTTTACGTGGGGAAGAATGACAAGAGAGTCCAGCTGAGGGAGATGAGGGTGAAGTCACCACCTCTTGGTATAGTTCAGTGGTTCTCAACCTTGGCTGCACATTAGAATCACCTGGGAATCTTTTTAAAATCCTGATTTCTGGGCCTCATCCTCCGGAAATTCTGTTTCTTTGTTACTAATGTTGTGGCCCCACCCCATAACAAAGAAACAGAATTTCTGGAGGATGAGGCCCAGAAGTCAGGATTTTTACAAGATTCCCAGGTGATTCTAATGTGCAGCCAAGGTTGAGAACCACTGGAACAGTTTTTCTTCTCTTGGGTTATGATGCTCCTGCTACATTTGTTCTGCCTTTGGTTCTAACATCGACAATGTCCACAAATATCTGTAGAATTCGTTACTGTAAGGAAGGTAGAATTCTCTTTTTATGCCATATTAATCTCTTTGAAAAGATAAACAGTGACTTTATTTTTCTGAGAGTGAGAGAATGAAAACCTGGTACAGCTAGTGTCTCTTTATTAATAATAGCCAATTTAGAAAAAGGCATTACCAAAATATTATTTGGAGCTCAGGTTGGCAGAGAGGTTTGGTTTTATACCTTTGCATCGGTAATTGGTACTCCTCTGTCAAAGTGGATGTTGGGCCCTATTTGAAGCTGTCTGATGTAACTGAGTAATTTTCTATGTACAGTGAAGTGTTCACTTTTTGGGAACTAGCTTTTGAACACGCAAGCAAGCATGCATGTATTTTTGGTGTCATACTTAAAAACCATCACACACATGCATGCCACGCACACACACAGCTGCATTTATTTTAATGATTATACATTCATATGAATGCATGTAGTGTGTTTATTTCAAAGTGTATGCGTTTCAATAAAAGCAGGTGCAGAGTGAGGGTGTATGGTGTGAGTGTGGAGTACGAAAATACGCATGCTAATGCATATGTATAGGCGGAGGAGCTCTGCAGAGTTAAATCACACATCACACATTGTGTGCACTTACTGCAGTGTGCACTTATTCCAACCCCAAGTTTAAAAAATTAATGTAAAATATGTACGTACAAATGCAGTTATATGACATGATCAGATAAAGACATTGGTACCCTGTACACAGTGTGTTAAAACATTAGTATAATAGATAATGCTGTTAAGACGCGAGAAAATTTTAGTCATTGACAGCTCTGTATAACTTTAAAATCCTGAATTTCATGTTTTAGCTCTTAATTGGAGAATTTTCTCATCATCTTAATTGGGTCTCCTAAATGAAATCATACCCCTCTCTCTCTCTCAAGACTTTCCCACATGACTATTTTTTTTTAAGTCTACCTTTTCTGAAAATTTATGGAGAATTTATATAATTACTTGTTTTAAGTACTTTTTCCCCTTTTGAATTAATGGGCATATGTTCTTTAATTGCTACGGAAGACACCAGCTTTTAGCATATGTCATTCATTCAGTTATTCCTACTTGATGTCTTTTTAATGGAAACCTATGGCTAAAAATAATTGCCAGAGCTTCTAGATTTATAATTTCCAGTTCACTTCTCTGTGTTATTGCCCTTTAAAGGTGGCAATAGAAGAAAATATATCCTTTAGTGCCTTTTTAGAAATAAAACCCAGAGTTTAACTCTGATCCCACCCTGTGGCTTTTTTTTTTCCTTTTTTCTCCCCCCTCCTCTTATCTTTGGCACACTTTATTTTCCAGTAAAATAAAGAATGAAGATGGATTATTCAAAACTGATAACAGTAATGGACCATCATGTAATGTTTTATTGAATTTGAGTTCTGTAAATTATGTGGTGGAGAGAAATTTGCCTGCTTTTAAGTATAAGAGAGATTGCTGCTGTGTTTCTATAATTCTTCACAGTGTAATTTAAGAAAAGTCCACTATCCATATCACTATTGAATAAAAGGTAAGAAGGTGCTATTACCCCAGCGTGACAGCTCTCCTGTAGCCTCCCCAAATGACAGAGATAAATGTGTCTGCTTATAACTTACTTGGCGTAAGTCCAGAGTAGGAGGTGGAGTTTGAAAATGGTCTTTCACCTGGACATGTGTTTAAAAATTCACCAAACCACAGAGGCAGGTAGGTAGCCTTGAAGAATATTCTACATATTTTCTTTTTAGTAAGGAGGTTTTATCAAATCATATTTTCCTTCTGAGGCTTTGAAGTTCCATGAAACTGATAAAATCTATTTGAATCAGTGATTATGTTCAAAGAGGAGACAAACGGGAGGCCAGACCGGCTTTTTGTTCAGATTGGCAGTCTCTTTCGCTTATCTGCTGTTTTAAAGAATTCATAATTAGCATTTGGAAGAACTGATAATATTTATTGAAGGTTTTTTCTTTCTTTTACAATTACTAATGAATTTTACTTGTAATAACTTGTAAACTCTTTTTGGAATGTAAAAAAGGCTTAGGAATTCATCAGTAAGTTTGCTCTTTAATTGAAAAAAAATTAAAATTCTCATTTAACCACCATGTAATGACAATGCAGAACCATTTTATGTTTTCATATATAGAGAACATATGAGTTATTTGAAGATGTGGAAGTCCCAATGAAAAGCAGCTTGTCATTTCCAATAAAATTAATATTCATGAGGTGCTGGTAACTTACGGCATAACATACAAATTCTCAAGTTCTTTTCAGAAACAAGGATGGCTAATGATTTTGTTTAGTTTTCTTCAACAAATTTATTGAGCACCTATGGAGCACAGTATTGAAGAGATATTTTCGTCCTGCTGTTTCAGCATATTCGCTGAGATAGCGAATAAGGTACAGGACATTATTTTTTAGCATGAAGAAGAATTTTTGGTAGGAGATCCCTCTTACTATCCCCCATGAGGAATTACCACAAGTGACATTGATGTAACTTGGCAAGTCTGCACTGTATTTTCGACTATGGGCAAATGGAAATAGGCCACATACATCTTGAATCCATAAATGCAACTAACTATTCAAGTAACAACAACCTGAACAGGACCAAACATTCATTCCCATATCCGGATTCTTATAGCAGTCATTTTGCATCCAGAATTATTCTCAAGTGGCATGATTATTTATTTATTTATTTTTGGTAATTAACACATTCTAATCAAAACATTTCCTAACAATATTTTCAAGCATTTCCACCAGGGGGCACTCCCCTCATTGAAAGCTTGGGCCAAAAAAAAAAAAAAGAAAGAAAAAAGAAAAAGAAAAAGGAAAAGAAAGAAAAGAAAAGAAAAAGAAAACCCCAAAGGTTTCTAAAACACCCGAGATGTCTTCACTGGCTGCTTTAGAGCTCTGTGTGTTCCAGGGTTTGAAATAATCGCTTTAGACCTTCAACATATTACAAGCAGAAAAACTACACTTGCTCTAGCCAAATAATTAAATGGAAATAAAATGTTTTGCCCCTGAAACACTTTACTTGCTCAAATGGGAAGTCATGCCAGCATCAAAATATGGGTAAAGAAATGTCTAAATCCTCTCCCAAGTGACCTGCTGCCTTCTACGTAAGCCATACAGGAATGCCTTGGTGTTATGTTAGCAAGACTTGATAGAGAGCATTATTAGGTATTTTTTCAGGTGTTTGCTTTTCTCACCATAGTTCTCTGCTGTCAGGGGAAACATTTTTTTTAATAGAGATGATATATTATTTTATTTGAGATTTATAAATGTCTAATTTCAAATTCCCCAGTCCTCAATATTTATAGGATCCCTTTTAACCTAATCTATTTTTTTTTAAATTACTGAACATTTAGTGTAGGTAAACATCTTACAGAGCGCCACAGTAAACTTTTCATTGAAGGCTCACCTTGAGTAAATTAATAATTACCATTAGAATTTACCCGTGGGTAGCATATCTTGTTTCTAAGTTTCAGACACCCATTTGCAATGTTGTTCCTTTTGTGGTCTGAATACACATAATTTATCCACTTAGTAAATATATATCAAACACATATAGAGTAGGCATTGTGCTGGGATAACAAAAATGAATATTAGAATATTCAAGGAATTACAACATTTTATTTATTATGCTATATTTTTCTGTCTCTCTATTTCTGTATAGTTGATGTATATTACTTTGCCAAGCACATCTTGTAAAACATAACATTTGGTAGGGAAGAGTGGAGAACCTGGATTATTTTTTTTTATACCTATTTTCAAACCTTCTTAAGGCCTGTATTTTTCGGTTTTAATGTGACACATCAACACAGTCAATCTAATTAGTTGGCCTTGTGCAAATTAAATAGCTGGATGATTGACTGCCTGTTTGACTGAATTTTAGTTAAACTGACTGGATGTTTTACTCTTGTATAAACTCGGTTGCAGCATTACTTGTCAGTATTAGCAATGAAAGGACGCATTCCCTTCATTCTTCCCTTACGTGTCTCATGGTGAAACTTAGTTTGGGTCCAGGTTTCTGACTTCTGTTGCAAAGACCAAGGGAGAGATTAAAATTTACTCTTTAGCCCCCTGAGCCTATTAGAGGTTCTTTTTTCACAGCAGCCCATAAATCATTTTAATAGTGGACAGTGCTTCTATACTGTCTGCATCTATTTGAGCATTTGGGGCATTATCCCCGAAGAACCAAAAACTGGGTTTGCACTTCTAGGAAACCATGAAAAAACGCAAATGTTATAATCTTGGGTCTTAATTATTTTGACATGACACTTTATCTCTCCCCTTTCCCAAATGTATCCTTTCACCCTTTCCGCAGAGTTGTTGGAAAGTGAAATTTGCAAACTATACCGAGATCTGGACATTTTATTCTGAGCTATATTGTGTTAAACTGATATTCTGGCTAAATGTAGAAACCAGGCATTATTTCATGTAGAAGATTGAAGTGGTAAGAGCTGCTCAGCCCCTATCAGATGGACAGAAAAATTTTCTAATCCTTCAATTTCATATAATCCCTTAAACAAAATTGGGGGAAACCACCCATTTTTGAAAGCATTCTTCCAAAAATTAATAAAATGGGGGGGGGGCGGCTCTATTACTTGGGGAAAGAGACACTTTAAAGGATTTTAATGGTTTGTAAATTCCTTCTATTAGAAAGACATATTTTTATTCCTCAAGAAATTTAATAGTTACAGAATTGGATAATACTCTTTTCCGTGGCATGCTATCATGGATTTTTGAAATGTGGAGAGGGGTGTATGTATTTCAGATTTAATCTATGGTTTCTGAAGTTCAGAATTTCAACCTGTTACCAAGAGATACAGCATAGCAAGATAGTATTTAGAGTCATTGGGGCTGTCAAATGTAGTTTCCTTAAATGATAAATACAAAGAATCATTTGTCATTGACTCTAATAATTTTCAAATAAAGGACTAACTTAAAATATTGTCTGTGAAAACATAGCCTTAATCTTAGACGATGCTTTTGTAAAATTCTTTTTTTTTTATTATTTAATCCTCACCAGAAGACATGCTTAGAGAGAGGAAGGGAGAGAGAGAAAGAGAAAAACATCAATGTGATAGATAAACATAGATCATTTGCCTTCTGTAGGTGCCCCGACTGGGGATTGAACCCTCAACCCAGGTACGTGCCCTGAAGATGCTCAACCAATTGAGCCACTGTGGCTGGGCCATAACATTCTTTTTTCTAATAAGTTGTAGTTCATTTTCTATGAAAGTTCTATTTCTCCTGAAATAGCTTTGTATCTTTACATATTAGGCTGTTGGCATTCCACTGTCTTTGTCTAGGCAGCTTGAGAACTCTACCGTTCAATGCTGTTGTATTATGAGCATTTCATTTATTCTTAACTTCCCTGGATCGTCTCTCTCTGAAAGATTTCATGGCAAGTTAAGCTACTCAAAGGAAGGAGACCAATTAGGCAGTTTCGGTTTATGGTATATGTAAAGCAGATGCTTAATAAAATTAAGAATACAATTGAGGCTCTCTTCTCTACCACGTCAGTTGTAACTAATATATTCCTACGTAGAATTAATGCTTCTGACTGTTCCTTTTCTAAACAGAGTGGAAAAGAAAAGGGAAGGATCGCCACTGGCTGGGCAGAGCCCGGAGCAGGCTCACTCACTCTGTGCCTTTCATTCCCTGCAGGGCTTGCTTTCAGAAATTCTCCGAAAGGAAGAGGACCCCAAGACTGCATCCCAGTCTTTGCTGGTAAATCTTCGGGCTATGCAGAATTTCTTGCAGTTACCAGAAGCTGAAAGAGATCGAATTTACCAGGATGAAAGGGAAAGGAGCTTGAATGCAGCCTCGGCCATGGGTCCTGCCCCCCTGATAAGCACACCGCCCAGCCGCCCTCCCCAGGTGAAGTCTACTTTTTCTCCTTAAGCCTTTTCCTTTGGCTTTTGTTTTTTAAAATGCCTGATGAAGAATCTCAACAAGGAATTAGAAGGATAGGTAGGAATTAGAAGGATAGGTAGACAGATTTAAACACACACACACACACACACAAATGTATGGAGTGGCTTGGGGGAAATTTTGTCCCCAAGCACTAATAATGGTATAAAAACAATAAGCTACTAATTAGGGGAAAGAAACTTACTTTGTATTGCTGCTGCTTCGGGGTTCTTTGGGGGATGAAAAGTAGTCTGTGAATGGGATATTTATCTCTATGACTATTATGTAAAGAAGTATTTTAAACTTAATGGGGGGGGGGGGGAGTAATACAGTCCGTTTTATTCCCTGCAAGTTTTAGAACTGCCATTTGAATAGTAAATAAATATAAATAAATAAATAATTCTATTTGTATTTGTGCTTTTCCAATACGAACTGCAGCTGGTGCCAATTACACATCATCTCGTTTGTAATCTTTCATAATTAAGTTTAATACAATCCTGGAAGGCAGCTTGAAATGGAGCTGATAAGGAATTCCATCCATATTCCCAGAAATGGGCACATTTTCTGTTTTCCAAAATTTTACACTTTTTTAGGAAAGACCAAAGTCACCTTCCAGGTAACTTTGTGTATGTGCATCTATATTGTTTGTTTGTTTTTTAATCGAGTTTAAACGGTAGCCTCATAACTATTAGCATTCAAGTTAATTTTCAATACCAACTATTAGATACAAGTTTAATAGTGGATTAGACTTAAAATCCACAAGCAAATATATTTCTTTCACATATAATTTATGGCATGTACAGTTCTTAAAAATAAGATCAATAAAACTGGATAAAATTGAATATAGAATAGAAATTTAAAGTATTTCTATAACCTCATGTTATAATGAAATTATATCTTGATGTCCATTTCTTTTCATTAATAGTAAGAAATAATAATACATTTCCAAGTGTAGAATTATAGAAAAAGCTCATTTAACACTAAATATGAAACTGCTACAGATACTCCATAAATAGGGAATAGCTATTATATTTAGCCACCTGTTGAGGATCTTAAACTGTATGTTGTAATGTTTGAAATGATTATTTTTTAGAAATGTCGCAAAGGTCCATTTTCTCTGCTTCATTTAATGAAAATTAATTAGGTCTTGATGTCTATAGGAGCAGACTGTAAGGGAGTCATTACTGTCATTGTGAACAAGAAAGCCATGCTTCTCTAGCAGAATAGAAAGGATAATAGAGCTCACCTGCATACACACACACACACATAGCTATTGAATTTGGTCTGTAAAGACTTCTGTAAAATATTTCTTAAGAAATAATATACCTCTGGATTTTTCTTAAGAAAAAGAATGAGGAACTCTTTATATAGATACATAACTTTTATTATAAGAGTGACTAAACAAAAAATACTATACTTAGACCCGATCTAATAGTGTGTGGTGTTTAGAGTTAATACACACATGATTATTAGTTAACTTTGTTCCTGTGATCATCACAGAAAGGCCCCCTGCTCAGAGAGCTGTCTTACTTACCACTGAATCTGCAAGACCAACAAAAGAATGACTTACTTGAGACGAGTATGAACTTTAAAAATGTATCCAAATATTTAACTTAGTGATTCTTAATACAGCTTTTGTTTTTAATATTTCTGGGGTTTTAATGCTTATGTTTTTCAAATGGGATTCTGCTGTCCTTAGTCATCAAGTTTTTTTCTTTAGGCAAAGTTACATTAATTGTTAAGGGTTATTTCTTTCCATATAAAGATACTCTTCAGTAGCTTTCTGATATATATGTCTAAAGACTGTATCTGCTGATAAGTTGGGATAGGAAATATAATTTACTTGGCTTGAATTATTGATTAACTGATTGAGCCACCCTTAGCTGCATTTGTTCTCAAGAAGGATTGAGACCAAGCCCTTATCCAGGTTGTTCAGACAATAATGAACATATAAAGTATGTAGATACTGTGGATTCTTAGTGAAACTCTTTCAGAGGAGAAAAAACATTGTTTCTATTAATCAAATTCTGAAATGATTATCTGATATATATGTATGATTTTATTTCACTTCTATAATATAAATCTTTATGGTATCTTACGTATTTGCCCCACTGAGAATCCCTTTGCATTATTTAATCCTGTATAATAAAGAGCTAATATGCTAATTAGACTGAACAGCAGGACGACTGTCCGAACGACTTCCGGATGAAGCCAGGGCTGCGAGGGCTGAGCCCCTTGCACGAATTTCGTGCATCCAGCCTCTAGTATTATTATAATAGAGCTCACAATCATTTTGTTCACCTTTTATTCTGTAATAATGATTCAATGAATTAAATTTTAAGAAATTTTTAATGGATTAAAAGCATTACCAATGTCAAACAAGTACTTTAGATCTGGAAAAATGTGTTCTAGAACAGTTGAATTAGTACTTTGTTGCAGCAGTTGAAACCTAGTGCCTACACTGGAACCAGACAGCAAAATTTTGTCTTTTTTATATTTTGCCAAGGAGGCGTCTATGTGAAATCACTGTACATTTCATTTCCCCAAAAATGAGGAGATTTGAAATGTACAGTGAGACAAGTTGTGGGTTTGGGTTAAAACGCAACTCTGATTTCTTTCCAAAGAACTGCGTGCTGTAGACACAGGTCCCCTTGTGACTCACAGAAGACCCCGCCCACTTTCAGGCCTGAGAAATTGGGTTCTTTTCCAGGTCCCTCAGTAGACTTTAGGTCATACTGAAGATGATTTGGATGTTTCTGGTTCAAACCAGATCGAGGACCTAAGCTATTGAGGAACTCAACAGATTCTAAATCATCTTCAAGAAGGGACTTCATTGGTTTGAGTCAAACTCTAGGTTTTATTCTTAAGAATACCGTCCCTGGATAAACCCAGACTAGCCTCAGGAATCACCAAGGCCTTTGGCTGGCCCTGCCTAGGTGAGGTGCATCTTGTGCACACCTGTCCCTTGTGCTGCAGTAGGGGCAGCCATGCTGTGAGCTGCTTGTCACTGGGGTAGTAGGCTCTGGCCCAGACCTGTTTAATGATAGTATATTTTCACAGCTTTACCTGCTAATTCAAGAAACAGGATTACCTTGCACTTGATAATGGTTCACAGTTTTCTCAGCACCTTGATGTATATTAATTCACTGAATCTTCAGGCCAACTTTTCCGTGGGAGAAAAATGACAAAACCAAGTCTGAGGTTTAGTCAGAGTTTTCCAATCCTCTGTGAATTCTGTTGCTCCTCCCCCTACCTCAAGCTCCACCTGCTCAAAAATATAAATGAACATGATAGAAAAGGGAAAAAGAAACTTGGGGACTTTTTCTGTTTGTCATGGATAGGAAGTTTTATTGTTAGATTAGGAAGATGTACAAGAATGTGATCTGGATAGATGATCCCTGGGTATTTCTGAGATTGTGGAGGTCATTGCCCCCCCCCCCTTAATGTTTTGTTGTTGTTGTTGTTGATAGTATTACAGATGTCTCCCATGTTATCTCCTTTTCTCTCCCCATCTGCCCAGTCCCTATTTCTCCCCCCACCCCACACCCCCCAGTTCTTCCTATTGTCTGTGTCCATGGGCTATGCATATACATATATAAGTTCTTTGGTTTCTCTCTCCTGGTACCCCCACCCCCACAAAGGATATTGCCCCCTTAATTTTGGTTGTATGAAAATATCTGAAAGAACCCAACTCCTCCAAAACTGCCTGGTCTTAAAGGCTTCTTTTTCTGAATCTACTTGGCAGATTGAGTTTAAACCAGATGAGTTTATTAGAGGGATTTTATTAATAATAATTAAAGATTATGTTGTGGGAATTGTTCCACAGAACAGGTCAGTTTTAAGTTGATTTCTCTTTAGGTGTGTGCTTACTCTAGTTTTATTTGTGTGTTTTAATATGTGTGACTTTTGGAGGTAAATTAGCAATTTCTGTTTTCATAGTCTATACTTACCAAATTATAACTTTTTATATTAGTTATATAATTTTCTCCCTTTTTTCCCATAGCTCCTTAGTAATTCTTTAGTTTCTTCTAAAGGAAGATGTGATATTTTATGCTTTAGAAAATGTATGTAAAGTTCATAAAGGAATTTATCATTAATTTAACCTTGTTAGCTGCACCCTCTGTCTCTTTCTAACAACTTCTATAATATAATGAAACAGAGGTCCAGTTATGGGCAGGAGCTTAATACATGATTAAAATTTTATTTGTTATAAATTCCTGGACCAGCATTATTTTCAGATCTTATTTATGTGCTTGTAAAATGTTTCCCATTAACAGTCATCTTTGAAAAGTTAGAGGACTTGGAAAATAATATTGTTTCTATAACCATAACCCTCCAGATGGTGTTAATATGGACTATATTTCATCACCAATAAGAATGCCTTAAGTAGTACATTTCTTACATAATGTTACCAAAAAAATTATGGTTTATATGCCTTGAAAAATAAATTCAGATTGGATTTGTAAAATTAATGACAAAGTCATTTACTACTAAAAATTAGATATTAATGAATTTGATTTAGCAAAGGGCCACCAAAAAACAGGTCTAGCATGCCTTCAAAAATAAGAATTTTTCCAAATAAAGAAGTTGCATGGTTTCTAAGATAAGCATTGGCATCAGACAGACTGCAGTTTAGCTCTCAGCCTTGCCTGTGGACAAATGACTTAAATGTCTTTGTTTCAAGAGCATTTCCTCAAATTTTAAATGGGGCAGTAATAGTAACTACTCAGGGTATTGTGCAGGTTAGAGTTAGTGTGTGTTAACACTATACACAGCACTTAAGCAACTAATAAATGTTAGTGTTTATTTTCATAATTATTAGTAAAACGACATCAAACCTTATGTGTGAGCACGCACACACATGTGCTGTGAGCCTGTGCTCCTGCCTCAAGGAATAGTGCATATTCACCCATGAAGACCACAGTGGAGTTCATTTAGTGCACTGTGCATGTAATCTGTAGTACCTATGTAGTGTGTATAATTCTTTTGTAGTATGACTTGATGCATTCAGCAATACATGAAGAAACAAAAATAGGATTTAATGGCATGATTTTAGTGAAATAAAAGATCTAAATCATCTTAGGGCTGTGCCCTATCCCCACGTGGGTAGGTACGTGGTAGAAGCTTCAATTCTTAACTACTTCTCGGCGCCGCCGTAATGATGGAGTAGTACACCCTACCTTGATAAAAGCTATTCAGAAAGCAACTGCATTTATTTTACCTCCTGTGCTATTTGCAGAGAAGAGCTGAAGAGTAGTTTGTTTTGCCTGGAATGAACTACTTTATGAATTTTAATGTGTGATATAATATTAAAAGCTAAACCAGGATTAAAGAAGATTTTTTTTGTACTAAGCTAAAATAGTACTTAGTAGAGTGAGGTATAAAAGATTTTTGTTTCCATTTTTACCTGGGGAAAAATTCAGCCCTCATATTTTTGAAAAGCCGTCCAAGTCAGTTCGCCTTAAGCAATAGCTTGTGTTTAGGAAAAAAATGTGATTCCAGAATTGTAATAGCTTATTTATGATAAGATGCAGATCTAAGCCAACAAGATGATAAAGAACTTTCCTAAATCTTTTTAAAATGAGTAATGCGGTTTCTTTATATTTTTAAAAGTTGTTGCTCTCACTTTTTTTTTTAATTTTTAAATGTTTCATGTGCACTTATTTCCCACTTTTATTTTGTGTTGGCTACCAGGAAACGATGATATGATTCCCCCCCCCCCCCCCATGATTTAAAAATCTTGCTTTTTTGATTCAAATTGTAATTGCTTTAAAAAATATTAAACCAAAGAAATTTTTAAAGACAAAATCACAGTGTTGAGACAAATGATTATAGGCTACCTGCAGGATAAATTCTTAAACAGCATTTTTACAAAAGAATGCAAATTATTTTTAAAAACATGAAACACGGAGTTTCCAAAGACTGCTCTCTCTCAGAAGATTGCTAAGAAGATTGCTACCAGGGAACTACTTCCAATGCACTGGACTTCGTGCCCCCATTTCTATAACATTCAATTTTCAAAGCGATTGAAATGGCTTTTCTTTTCTCTTTCATTTAAGCAGTGAGAAAAATAGGTATTAAAAGGGACCCCATAGGGTGATCAACTCTATTCTTTTGCCTCAAAGCAAGACCACCCCAGAGCAAAGTTGTGAATCTCACCAAAGCAACTTTGTAGGCAATTTATGGTAATGCGTTAACTCTTCTGGCTCCTAAAGTGGTGTTTAGCAGATTATTGCTTCAAAGCCCGGTGTATGTGCTTAGTGGCCTCCAGTCCTTCATATACCTCTGTGAGTGCCCTTGCTTACTGGAGTCACACAGCCGCAAGGGGACTCTGGAAATCTGGCTTCCAGCCCTGTCTCCAGTTTACAGTGCAGGAGAGGCCAATGAGGCCCAGCCCGTTGGACACCTGTCCTGCCTGCCTCACCTTCTGTATCCTCACTTCGGGCCTGTGGTCCAACCAGTTCACAGCATGGTCCTTTCAGTGCTTAGGTAGTGTCAGAGTGGAAGAGTCTAGCTGTCTCTCTATGACAAGCCAGAGTGAGTTATTTTGCTAACTGGCTAGAAGTTCAAAGGATTCAGAAGGCACCTTTAAAAGGGGCTCATATTGCCCTGGCTTGTTTTGCCTGTGGACTGAAGGGTCCCGGGTTCGATTGTGGTCAAGGGCACGTGCTCCGGTTGCAGGCTCGAGCCCCAGTAGGGGGTGTGCAGAAGGCAGCTGGTCAATGATTCTCTCTCATCATTGATGTTTCTATCTCTGTCTCCCTCTCCCTTTCTGAAATTAATAAAAAATATTTTTTAAAAATAAAAGGGGCTCATATTTACTCACTAAGAGCAGAGAATTGAATAGCCTAGGATAACCTTTGTCCCACTTTTGATGCCAAATATTTTGGGACAGTGTGAAATAAACCTGGAAGACTTGCAGCCAAAAAATTCCTTCGTTTATTCTAAAATGCATTTCATTTCCTAGTGTTTATAGTATATGTGAGAAATGTTCCAAGATGCTAAATTTCTAGAGAACAAAAACCTGGGTTCTGTAAAGGACCCAAAGAAATCAGGCCCTTAATGAATCATGTTGCCGGGAAAAACATGGTCCTGCATCGTTGGTAACTTTCATTTACATTTTTATCAGTCCCCCAGTTCTTTGTTTTTTTTAAAAAAAGCAGCTACATGGTTCAGATGTAAATTTTCCAGACTGGTCAACATAACTGCGTAATAAAAAATTAAATTTGCACTTTTAAAGATTAATAATAGCATTAATAAATTTTGAGGGTGTGATTTAATTTTCCCCCTAAAATTCTGTGGCATTTTTCTGCTGGCACCTGTTTATCATTATTTCCAACAGCACTCGTGCTAATCTTTCATTCAGGATTATACATTTTGGATATATTTTTTAAGCCACTGATTATATATTTTGTGTAACTCGCAGCAATGTTCTGTTAAATATTGTGGAACATTTTCTTATAGTCTGGTTCCACAAGTCAAAAAGAAATAGTTATATACAGGGGTGCCAGGAAAAGATGAAATAATTACACAGAACAGCTTGGACATGCACGTGTAAAACGCAACCAGCCTTTATGATAATTAAGCAAGGCACTCTACCTGTTTCATGGATGGATAGAAGATTTAAATATGCAGCTCTGCAAATGGCTTTGTTATGGAAGATTTTTTAAATGAAACATGAGGAAAGGGTATTAAAAAAGAGCCTAAAATTAAAAAGGCCATAGTATATAATAGCTATTAGTGATGCAATTGTCTATTAGGCACAGGCACCCGGTGAAGATAGAGCACTGTGCCTTATGACTTTAATGGTGAATTTCCTTTGTTAGAAGTGCAATGGGAGGTAATTGGGAAACAATTAGCTTAGGGTTTTCAAGTCTTTGGAACTATTTAGCTTTCCAGAAAACTTACTTTATGGCATTGTAATTCCTTGTTGTCGGCTGGCAGTGGCTGTCATATTACAGATGCAATCACCTGTGACAGTGTGACTTCCTTAGCTTAAGCAATCTGATCTCAGGGTAATAACTGAAGTTGAATGACTGCACTGTTGATCATCTTGATCATCAAAGGAGCGGCAGTGTCTAGTTTGGATGCTGAGCCTGGGAAGCTTCAAGACAATTTGACCAATGAAAAATGACAGTCATGTTCAAAATGTTTTGTAGGTGAAAACAGCTACTATTGCCACTGAGAGGAATGGGAAACCAGAGAACAATACCATGAACATTAATGCTTCCATTTATGATGAGATTCAGCAGGAAATGAAGCGCGCTAAAGTGTCCCAAGCACTGTTTGCGAAGGTCGCAGCAACCAAGAGCCAGGTAGGAGCCTCGATTAGGCATGGAGAATGTTTATCTATTTTCAGGATGTCTATTTTCAGTATGAATTCGCATCACTGAGAGGTCACAGTCTCCGGGATTATGTACAGAACTCTCTGGTGAGACAAAATGTTCAGATTCTGATACTAGACACTTGGGTCTTATTTCCTCCAATAGCCATTCTCCAGACCTAGGACTTCTTAGTAAATCCCTGAGTCAGTTTATAATTGTTTTCAGAAGAGTAAGACTGTAACGTATAGGAAGTTTTTCAGTCTGGTCCATTGTAGTGGAACAAATAACTTGAATTACGGTTGTTTCATTATTACTTAGGTGACCTTGATTTCTATCCTAAAATACTAGAAACATGATAGTTTCTTCTGTTCCAACTCTGGCACCTACAAATCTTAAGTGCACTTATTAGAACAAATTGACACACACATACGTATGTCTTTGCATATGAATGATTTTAATTTTTCTATAGATAATAACACACAAATTGAATTACAATGAGAAAAATTGTCCATATCTGATCAATTATAAAGAGAATTGAATTGGAGAAGTTACAAATTTCTACAAAACAAGACAAAAACATAACAAAATAATGCAGTTCTTCATCAGAGTAATTGTCGTATATTGATAATTTACGTTCATCAAAAGCTGAGTCATCTATATGCAGGAACTCACAATTATCTATAAACCCTTGTTCAAAGCAAGACTACTTATAAGACCCAAAGAATACTACACTGTCCCTTTGCAAAAAGCTTTGATAACACTACCAAGGGGAGAATTTAGAGGCAGTCAAGGGCTCAGGTAAGATTTCAACAACTTGAAATTTTAACCAAATATATTTTTATTATCATTAATGGACCCTCCTTTATAATAACCTTTTGTTTACTTCTGATAAGCATATACAACCCTGAGAGTGTTTACAGTATACTACTTTGAGCTTTTCCTACAATTTCACTCTATCAGCATTAATAGTGGACCTAGATGGGAGTTTTGCTTTAGAAAAGGTTGTTCTTGTTTAAGTTATAGGCTGGATGAAATACTTAAGGGATATCTTGGAAATGTTATAGAAAAATGATTAAACTCAAGCTGTGGACTGTAAAAATTATAGCTTTATAGGCCACATGCCTGCCTACCCTTCAATCACTGTCAAAGTGATAATTTCTACAATAATATGTTTCTTTTATTGTGAGATTCTAAACATCAAGTGCTGTTTAAACATTAAACTGAATTGTTTATGTTAGTGCTGTACTCAGCGTGTCATACATCAGGCCACCGTAATCTCTCATGGAATGTAAAAATCTGTCATGAATCATGGCTTGTATATCGGAAATTACTGTAATTTTGATTGGAAATTACAGGGCTCTTGAAATGTTTCTAATTATGATAGAATGTTAGAGCCGCTTCAAACCTGTGTGCTTCTTCAGATGTCTTCATTTACATGCCAAGACTATGCATTAAGGGGAAATGCCCTGTTCTCACTTTACCCCTCACCCACCTCCCCTGCTTATTCTTGTTTGGGCTACTTAGTCTAATTATGGTGAGGATCTCATATTTAAATGTATATAATCTTGCTTTTCTTTCTCATACTACATCTTTTCTGACCTAGCCAATTAAATTAATTATCAAGGATAACAGACTATATTCCTACAAGGACAAATACTTTCCCCAGATCTCCAAAATAGACAAACAGACAAACTAGACATGTATTACTGTCAGGCTTAAAACCAACAAAAATACATTTTAAAACTTTTTTTTTAATTGTTGATAGTATTACAGATACCTCCCACTCCCCCCACCCCATTTTTCTCCCCTCCCTCAGGCCTTCACTACCCTATTGCCCATGACCATGGGCTATTCTTTGGTTTAAAACTTTTTGATAACTGTCACTTACTTGCTTAACATATGTCATTTAATTTCATCTGGTCCCCCCTTTCCCATTTTCCTTTCTAACTAGAGCAGGAATTTTGAACCTTTTTCGTTTCATGGCACACATAAACTAATTACTAAAATTCTGTGGCACACCAAAAAACATATTTGTTGATCTGACAAAAAATATAGGTATACTTTTGATTTGATTTATAGAAAAAAATAATAGTGATTATTTTTTGCTCAAAAGTGCCATTCTTATATATAAGGATTTTTGGTACCATGAATTTACCAATCAGAAGCAACCTTATTAAGATAGAACTCTATTATATGACCTACATATTTATGGTTTAAGACAGGGCATTCACACTGGACAGCTATTGCTGTTTTGGCTATTTTCATTGTGGGTTGTTGTTGTTGTTGTTGTTTTTTGACAATCTAAGTGAAAAGAGGTTAGTACCCCTGACTAAATAGTCAGGTATTGCATGTTTTAAAAATGCTTGCGGCACACCGGTTGAAAACTGTTGGACTATAGTATAGCCCCTTATGGTTAGCAGCCCCTTGCTACCTTCATTCTTTTCTTTTCAATGATAAGTTCCATCCTCCCTGCCAGGGCTGAGTCACTGATTTTGGACCTCTTCAGACAGTGGCAGCAATTGGTTGACAATGGCCCGTGAGTGATGCTCTGGGGACGTTTTAAACGTTTTTGCTCTTTGCACCCTCGTCCTGCAAAGCTCCCATGAGGCTCTTTCAGCAATGTCGCTTGGCAGCTTCTCTGAGTCTGCCAAGATGGTGTTTCCCGAACCCCCCCCCCCCACGCTGTTAGCTAATCTCTCATTCCTGGTTGAAAGAGAATCCAGGGGCCCGTTGGTGGCTGTGGAGTCACCACATGAGTTAACCTGTTCACTTCATTCTCTCGGATGGTTATTCCTAACTCCTAATTTACTGTACCTTCCTGACAGAGCATTTCTGTACTTTTCTCTCAGTTGTATAGTTTGGTTGTCAGCACTACCCTGTTGGTGAAAACAGGTAGATAAACTTATGGTTTCTTAAAAGGAAGATAGTCCCAAAACAGTGTGCAACCCTGAGAGAGGAGATCTGACTTCACAAGGAAGGTCATCGTCTACTTAACTTCTGTTCTCCTGCCATGATTTTTGTGACGGGAACAGAAAAACTAGCAAACAAATTTTTTAAAAAATATCTTCAAATCAGACTGACCTTTTTCATGGTCAGAATTCAATTTCTATTTACACCTTGGATATAATGTGGCAAGGATTGTCAGAATGAGGCGGAGGCCTGAACATGGGGGAGGGTGGGGTGCATGGACAAAGCAGGGACACCAGCCCCGTCCAGCTCCACCTGCTGCTGCGTCTTGCCCCAATTCTCCAGGTTGACTTAGCACCCGTCACCTTTTTTCTGCTAAACCCCAGCATGTATTCTCTATTATCTACATTTAATTCTCAGAGTTAACCCCGTGAGCTAGCGTAGTTTTCCCCAATGTTCACCTAAGACTCACCTGACTAATAAACAGGAGAGCCAACCCCCCGTTCTCTGCATCTGTCCTATTTTAGTGTCTCCTCTGGGTTCCAGGCGGCATCAGTACCGAAGTTAAACCCAGCTCCAGGACAGATGAATTCGGGATATTGGACTAATGGATAGTGGAAACGGTGGGGGCTTTCCTTTCTTCACTGACAGATTCTTACCAACATAGGGCCGGAGTGCACGCTTTTCCATGCCCGAGGGGGAAGCAGGGGGGACCGGTGAGAGAACTCAGAGGAGGCTGTGGTCCAGGCTGTGTGGTTCATATTATAATAGTGAGAAATTAGTTAACCTTTTCGAGCCCAAGATTCTTTTAATATGGGGAGGAGGTTACCTGGTATGATGTATGCAGAAGAGCTTTAAGATGATGCAGTGCTATACCCAAATGGAAAATGCCTTCCAATGTGCTAAGCAAGAGGCTCAGCTCAGCCCCCCACACAGAGACATTTTTATTCTCTCTTCACGTATTTCAAACAGCTTTTGTGTAAAAAGATAAAGCCTTGGGTAGATACCCTGAATGACAGGCAGCACAATTATTTTGAAGTTACTGCAGTCTCAGAATGTTATGGACCCAGACACATCATAGTTGTGCTAGGCACTGACTAATGCACCAAGTATTTCCAGTCAAAGAAACCGACTCGGTGGATTCCACCATTCTCGTGTATTATCGCTCCTCTTCCATGAGTAACAGAAATTAGATTGTTTTTAACTCTAATAGAAATGTCTGAATAAAATATGCGGGTGCAACCTGGAAGGTAGGCGATTTTTGTGCTTGGATAGGAAAGCTGGCTAATGCCAACTTTAAAAAGATGATATGCTTTAAACATAATGTGAATAGCTACAAATGAATACACTTTATATTCTGGGTATTCAAATAAGCAGCAGTTTTTTCAAGTGAATCATATTGGAATTTTATCAAACATTTAGTCTGATAACATTCAAATAATTATGAGAGCAGAATTCGCTAATTTTACTGTTTAAAAAAAATAGTTGATTTGGGTAATAACCATTACGGTATCAAGGTTCAGTTACTGTTCATTGGTTATAGTGTTTTCATATGGGAGATGGAAATGGAATTTTTTCCTTAATGGTGGCAGATGTTGGAATCTAATTTTATTCCACGGCAAAGCCCCCGAGAGCTCTGAGACTTAAGGTGTATGTCCAGCAAGGGGACATTAGCAGCGCTGTAGGCCTTGCCTTGTACATCGACTTGTTACATTGATTTTCATGTTTGCAGAGGTGGAGTTGGCAGATAGAGTAACACCGTAGGAGTGAAGGGCTTTCACTGAGCGGCACTGCATCGCCACTTGTGTTTAGAAAATGATTTCTCTCCTTTATTGAGCAGAGTATTTCTTTCACGTAAAGCAACTAGATCAGCAGTTCTCAACCTGTGGGTCGCGACCCCTTTGGCAGTCGAACGACCCTTTCCCAGGGGTCGCCTAAGACCATCCTGCATATCAGATATTTACATTACGATTCATAACAGTAGCAACATTACAGTTACGAAGTAGCAACGAAAATAATTTTGTGGTTGGGTCACAACATGAGGAACTGTATTTAAAGGGCCAGAAGGTTGAGAACCACTGAAC